GAGTTTAGGTCATTATTTTAATTTTCAATATTTGTCGATTCTTCTAAAACAAATGTTCTGAATGAGAGCTCCTGCTCCAAATTTACCTTAAGATAAAACATACATATGTATGTAAATAAATTTCTCTAACCCTTTGAGTACTATGGGCGCTTATAAGCGCTCAGAAAAATAAGATTGTCATGGCTTATTGGCGCATGGAAATGCAATTGGAGTTGAACGTTCTATGATATCAGATAATGAATTGTGGATTATAGTTTTTGTAACTATTGTAGAAACGGAAACGTGTTATAAAATCATCAGCGCAACTTAACTTCTACTTTTGCCTCGATCATACATAGAGTTTCTGCATTAAGCTGGTCCGTACCAAAAGGGTTAATCAGATTTCGTTTTCCAGCAACGTAACAGTAATTTAAACACTGCACAAGGTTGAAACTATAAAATACTAAAAAATAAAGATTATTAAAAGATACGTTTCAACTTCTTTAATTTCTTTAATTCGGCAATTACTATATTGTATACCAATATCTATAAATAATTTATTGCTTAACACTTTAAGGAAGTGGAGTTGATAATAAATAAATATATGGTACGAATATAAACATTTATACCAGAAGTCTCTTTTTTCCCTAATTTAGTACTTTTCTTTTACTTTTTTTTAAATGTTTGTTTTTGATGTTTAACTTGTTTACGATCAGAACATTCTATGTATTAACACGTGAATCAAAGTGTTATTAAAAATGAAGAGAAATAAGACGTTCAAGCCTCAGATTCCCTTAAAAACAGACCAGTGAGATCCTGACAACGGCGAAAGAGTAGAGAAAAAAAGAAAGTGGAGGCAGAGGCAAGGTCTCGGGGTTACGTAAACTCGCTGTCCTAACTTCCGCCCCGTTGTCAGCAAAACCGGAAGCGCAGTATAGATCAGACACGGTACGGTATTTGTTTGTTGGTAGACGGCTTTGTACAACAGCACGTATCATCAGCGCCAAAATGTCTGGACTATCGCTATTGGCTGCTTGTTTGACCCTATAGACTATAGACTATAGAAATTCAGGGGTTCTGTGTGCTGTACTCATGAGTCGTAAATAAATGTGTCCGATTGCGACCGCGATTATATTTCCATGTTACGAAACATTACGTATAACACCGACGTACTAGACATTTAAGTATGGTAATAAGTTATAGTAACTAGTAGTAGTAACTTGTTATGATAAAATAACTAAATAAAAGATGCGTATATTTTCACACTAGCCTCTTGAAATAATTAAATTTCGATAAACACACAACTATCAAGAATTGAACAATTCTATTGAAATGTTAAAGTATTCAATACTATAGAGAACGATTAAATTTATTTGACTAAATAATCACTTACTTTCACCGGGAAAAGTTCTTATAACAGAAAATATACAGAATCTGGAATAAAAAATATTCCAACATAAAATATGTACGTACTGAAAACAATATCAACACAATAGTACCTTTTCCAATTTTTCAAAATTAAAATATACTTCAACTTCGCTTTAATTCTTATGACAAACGTGATCTATGTAGCACGTGAGTAGTACAAACATACAATTAAATGGAGTGTAAATTACAAAAAAACCTGTCAAATGTCGAAATATTTAACAACAATTTTCTAGAATATAATATAATGTAATAGAAAAATATTTGTTACAAAGCAACATGCAAGTAAGAGTTACATTTTAAGAACTGTATTGTCACCAGCATCAGTTATTATAACAAATATTCCTGAAATCTAATGGATCTCAAACAGATTTTACTTATTTTCGTAAATTAAAGTACATATACGATTTAGGATCACATTCTCAGGAAGGTCCGAAATAATGTAATGGCGGACTATAAACAACTGGGCTCGTTCGGAGGAACGTTCAAAACAAATGCAACAGCAATCGGGGCGCAGTTGGACAGATGCGTAGATTGCACCAACTACAAACCGGAGAAATAGAGATAATTCACCGAGATACGGTCGAATCAGTCAATGGAGATCTTCGACTTTTGTCTCGTTTGCGATGGGCCATTTGAGGAAGATCTGGCTGATTTATGGAAAGTGCCATGTGGAAAGCTTCATTGATTAGTTTATTTTATCGAATCATTTCCTATATTGGACAATTACCGTTCAATATTATAAACAAATAGAACTCAAGCTACTCAAGTTTCTCTTTATTCTAAACTACGATTAAAATGGATTTTTACTACTGTTATCTTTCTATAACTAAATTGTTCCTTGAATCTGCATACATTAAATATTACAGTAAAAGAAATTTGTTGTTCAACATATATTAATATATATAGAATTTCCTAATTATACAATCAAATGTCAAATATTTGTATTCGGTTAAGGTGATAGTACTGTGGAAAATATTAAAGGTTCACTCATCTGTAAGAAAAAATACTAAACAACTAATAAGTATACGAAATGATAGTTCTTAAAATAATTTATAACGTCTAAAATGATCATCATATTGAACATTAGACAATAGAGTATTCATGTTGGTAACACAGAATGGAGCTCTTTCTATAAATGTTGTAAATAAAATATTCTAACCAAATAAAACAACACTTTCGATTCGTTCGATGGTCAAAGACAAACTGAGTAAATACATCAACGGAATACAGCAAACTAAAGCTGCGTCTACAATATATGTATAGCATAACACGGTATATAGCAAAGTTATAAAACTTGTTGAGAAAACAGGAATAAAAATGTTATATAACATTTTTCGTGTTATATAGAAAGTTATATGTTACCCATCAAGTGTGAGGTCATTAATAATACTGACATGCGAAATGTTGTACAAACTTGTTACAGACTTGCCCACAAGGTATAATCTTGTAACAAGTTATAAAGATATGTTATACAGCACAGTCATATAACAATTTATTATATAACACTGTTTCGCTATACAGGGTGTTCGACTTAAAACAGGCCACCTAAGTATCTTCTCTATCTGTAATCACCCTAGAAATATTTTTGACACAATTTCAATGGTTCCAAGAGACGAATCGGATGACGGCAAAAATGTTTTATAAGTGTCGTTTCTTAATGGTTTCATCAAGGTCACCCATGTTGTTTTACGTATATGCACATTATTTTTCCTGTTGTACATTATAGCCAACAATTATTCATATACAGGGTGTTTCATTTAACTGGAAACGGTGAAATATCTCACGAAGAATTAAAGTTATCAAAAAAATGTTCATGCAAAAGTTGTTTGGCACAAAGGGGGACATTACGTGGTATAAATAATTTTTCTGTAAATGTAGTAGTGGGGGAGATATCAAAGTCAAGTTAATTTTTTTAAATGGAACCCTGTATTTTTTTATTTATATTCTGATAGTGTTTGTTGAGACGAATACAATGAACTGCCACATGATATCATTCCCTGTAGTAGGAAGTGATAAATTAGTAAGATTTTAAGATGATTTACGAAACAGGATTATGGTCGCATGCGAAAGAATAACGGACAAGATGTTGAAAAGTGTCGAAAGAGAATTTTTAAACAGAATAGAAACGTGTATTTGTAACGATGGTGGGCATGTTGAAGGATAAATGGCGTAAAAAATTATTAATTAATTCTTGATACTACCAGTTAGATAGTGGTAAGTGAAATTTAAAATCCATTATTTATGCTTAACTCCTCATATTTGCTACAATATTGGTGTTGTTTCCATACCAGGAATATTTTATTAAAAACGCAACAATCGGTCTGGTACGAGTAGATGGCACAGTCACGTAGAGTTCAGCTGACCTACGACACACGATCTGTGTTGATCTGACTACTTTATATTTAATTTATGATATTTTACAACTCGGAATGATATCATGTGGCAGTTCGTTGTATTCGTCTCAACAAACACTATCATAATATGAATAAAAAAATACAAGGTTCCATTAAAAAAAAATTAACTTGACTTTGATATCTCCCCCACTACTACACTTATAGAAAAATTATTTATACCACATAATGTCACATTACATTTTCACACAACATTTTTTTGATAGCTTTAATCCTTCGTGAGATATTCCACCGTTTCCAGTTAAACGAAACCTTGAACTCCAAAAATGTTAAATTCACTTATATGTATACTTTTTCCCTCCATCTGATTCGTCTCTTGAAACCCTTGCATCGTCACAGATGGAAAAGATATTTAGGTGTCCTGTTTTAAGCAGAATACACTGCATAGTATAGACGCAACTTAAGAATCCATTCATTTCCAGACCTTTGATATGTTTATCCCACCTATTTATTTCCTACATCCCGGAATACCTATATAGACTGAACACTCAAAAGGTGCATTTTTCTGCCCTTAAAAACAGACTGCAAAATCAAGAATTCCCATAAACATCTGCAATAGTACTAGTAATACCGTACAAACTATCGTCAGAATCAACACGAAAACTTTCACAGATGTCCCCTGACAGAACTCACAGCAAGAGACGAAATATTTTCAGGCCACGGAAACGTTTAAACTGTTAAACTATTGGAGCTTCGCGTCGAATACGCGCGGTCCTCTTCGGACATTCCGAGTAGTAGTCGGTCGTCGACCATAAAACAGGGGGATGCGCGAAGGTGCATCGTCCTCCCTCCATCCCCTCGCTCATCACGGGATGCCTATTCAAATTTTACGGGCCATATTTGTCGCAATTAAGTATCGCGTTTCCGGGCTTATGGGCCAGAAGTATTCCATATTGAGTGAGGGGATAACATTCGGCCCGGGTGTCTCGCGGAATAAAGATAAATTCGTGGACCAGGCCGCGCGGGTAAGGATCCCCTCCCCCTCCAGAGGAATTGGTTTACGACGTCGACGGGGGATGGCAAGAGGACACTACCGGGACCGGTCTGACTCATAGCAGAGAAAGTGGACGCGGATGGAAACGACGAGAGGCTGCAGTTTTACGAGGCTCCCGGACGAAAGACCAAGACCCAGAATGCGATTTGCAAATCGGTAGCGGCTACTCGAATAGACTCTGTACTTACTGCTTCGGCCGTTTCTTTCGTATGTCCCCGGTACTATCGTTCTGCGCGTGCGTGTGCTGCCGTTTAAGACTCGTTCGTTGACGGCTCGTTCCTTAGGTCCTTCTAGAAACTAACCAAGGTAATCGAATTACACGTCTTTTTTTTATATCATATTTTTGGCGATTCGAAGTAGGGGTAGAATTGGGTAATACATTCAATATTATTTCAATGATAATTGAAATTTTTCTATATTTTTTGGCAGAAATGCGATAATGATTGGAGATGGCGTAATCACCTACTTCTGAATCACTCGTCATTCGATCACGTTTGTTTCCAATTACGATGATTTTTTACAGCGATTCGTAATTTTTTGTGATAGTTTGTGATTGGTATATATTTTATATTAACTACGTCGAAACAGAAATGCGAGTTATATCGTACAATGTAAAGGAGTAATGAGAAATAACGACGAATAATGGGTAAATTAATGATTATAATTTCAAATCTACATGTTACATAACGTATCTGTTGTATAGTTATAACAGATAGTTTTTTTATAATTTCTTTCATTTTTACTCATTTTTAAAAACGCAAATAGTAATATAGAATTCATTTTCAAAAATCATATTGAATATGTTTTTTTTTTTTCAAGTTCCGATCACAGTGAGCAAATTCACTCAAGATAAAAAATCACGGTCGTGAATGATGTTAAATCACGACTGTCATCGTGACTCTGCGATCACTAGGATAAATCACAGTGACTGATTTTGCACACCATCTCTAATAATGATAGCTCTACTTTAAGGGGGTATTGCTGTACGCCTAAGAAATAGGTGAATTTAGAATTTTTTTTCTGAGGTAATTATTGAGTAAAATATTGGAATCTTTTTAAGGGATGTTAGGCAGTATTTTAACTGTATTTTCATAAATTAGGTGTTGTTTAGAATTACAAAATTGCGTAATGATGCAACATGGTTGACCTTCGTGTCTGGCAGGACTTTGTCAGCTCACGCCCAATAGATCCTCGTATTGATCCGATTGATCTCAAATGTCGACACATTATTCCTTACAAAGTTATCTACTATGCAACATAAGATTTTTCAACAATTTCACAAAATAAGGTACATAGCTTGATAAAGAAAAAAATTATTAACACTGAAAAATATCAATTCTGAAAATTTATAAAAATTCAGCAAAAAATAATATATCAAAACAATCGTACGCTACATAGTAATATGGAATAATGTGTCCGAATTTGAAGTTAATTGAAGGAATAGTTTCGGAGATCTGCTGGATGCCAGCTGACAAAATTCTCTGTCAGACATGACGGTAGACAATGTTGTATAATTCCGCAATTTGGTAATTTTAAATAATAACTAATGCATGAAAATATAATTAAAATGTTTCTTAACATCCTTTAAAAAGGTCCCAATATTTGACTAAATAATTACTTCAGAAAAATACTTTAAATTCGCTTATTTTATATTTTATTAGGTTTAAGAGTTTTATTACCCTTCAACTGTATGTATTTGGGTATGACTGAAGTAGGTTCGAATGAGTCGCTTGCAGCCTCTTATTAGCTATCTTTATTTATGCGTCTAAAACAATAGTGAGGCGTTTTGTCAATAACATGTTATACCTAGTTTTATCCTAAGTCTGAAGGTACACTCTTTTATGTCTGTGAACTCATGGGGGATTTCGTTTTTAAGCACTGAATGATGGACTGTTTAAGAAGTGACTGTATGACGGATGCTGGGTTAATTTAATCTTGTTGTAGGAATATAATATTTATGTAATGAGGCTACAACCCTGGCAATATTTATTGCATCACTCTTAACCCTTGTGCACTGGTCGATAAATTGTTTCATTACTATTCCTTCCTTACTATTCATTACTAAATACTTGGTCTAAGCTAAAATCGAATTAAGGAAATATACTTACATGTGGGGTGATGGTTATACTGTGGATAGGGAAGGTATTTGCACAGTCTTGTCTTTTATGACAAACATATCGAACGGAAGAAAGTGTATATAACAACAAACAAAGTGTTACCGGAAAAACCATACCAGTTAAATTAAAGTAAAGCAATAAACATTTTCGTAATATAATCTGGGAATTCACAAAATTATTTCTAAAAAGTGAAAAGGTGCAAATACTTATTTCAACCACTGCATATGTAAAGTACTTTTGTCAAATTAATTTATAAGTTTCTTTGATAAAGAATATAAGTTAAAAGTTAAAGTCTGAATTCGGGTCAAACTGAACCGAATATGTAGTGTACGAGAGTTAAAAAGAAAGATGTTGAAAAAAGCTTATATTCTTTGTATCTAGATTAATTTAAATACTAGGTTGACTTAACCATTAAATTACAAATATTTTATGTGAACAAAACTTCACTCCATAATTTTTCACACCATTTCACACGAAAAATCAACTTTTCAATCATAGCACGATTTATGATGCATATTCTACACATTATCCACATTTATAATATATTTTCTAAACTCCTGCAATTTTTTACCTACACACTAATTCTTTGCTTTTCTCTAAGAATTCTCGATTAATTCAAAAACTTCAAATCTTCAACAAATTCACACAAGCGTCAAAAAACAGAACTTCCAAGAAGAACGTCAGAAGAAAAGACATGTCGATGTCTGTCAACTGAAACATTCTAAATAAATTTCATTACTCTTACTTCGAGTAATCGATCCCCCGCGAGGGTTCGTTAGATTTGAAATTCAAAGGTGCCGCGCGCTCGCGTGCAACGCGCGAAAAAACGCGGCCAGGATTTGAATAACAAATGCGTTGGCGACATTAAATTATTCTATGGCCAGAACAAAGGGAACGAAAAATCATATTTATAAGAACACGAGCATGGACTGGAATAAACGAAATTTCGCAGGAGTGGTTGTGCATCACGACGTTCTGGAACGTGACAAAGGGAGGAACGAAAGTAGCAAAGAAATATCGAAACTGAGAAGTTTGCGAATCGGCTGAAACGTCGGAGGAGGGGGCAGAAAATTCAGGGGAAGGGGGTGAACAACGGACTAGACGGCGCCAACGGGATTTTCGCGAGTTTTAGAAGGTCCGAGAGAATGGCTATTGAAAATTGGAGAAAAACAATTAACAGAGAAAACTGTGAACAGATTGAAGGAATGATATGTCAGCGATCTATTGAAAAATAAACAATATAACATTAAAGTTTGGTTGACGAGAATTTGTTTGAAGGTCTGTGATATTTTTCATGTTACAATATAATCGGTAGATTGTGAACATTTTTGAGATTTTTCTAGATTTTCGAAGAGTTTAGTTAAGATTGATTGAGGAGTCCAATTCGTTATTCAAAAATGCATAACTGTTTTTATCTAGACGCGATAATTTCTCGGGATGTAGGACCGAACAATTGTTCCAACCCCAACTCTGAAAAGTTGTTCCACCCTTCAATAATAGATGTCTATTGAAAAAAAACTGCATACAGAATATTCCCGTATACAATACTCCGTATAGAATAAAACCGACGAATAAAGAAAATTGTTAGGAATGTAAAATAAATAATTAATAATAAAACTTCCCTTTTTCTATTATACTAGACTAAATATATTTATAAAAGTTATATATCTTTTTAAGAAAACATTTGCTTCTTCAACTCTTAAAAATACATTACGATACTAATGAATTATAATAATTAGAACTTCATAACATAAACTCTAAAATTAACATAACGCTAAAAAAAGTGATACAATAATTCAGAATTGCTCCCTTAGTTTTAAGAGATGCTTTACTCTTTATGATAGACTTACAGACCCATCGGAAAATGTTTACGCGCATGAAATATACAATAATTTAATATTATTATCATATTCCTTACATTAAATAAAACAGAAACAAACAAAATATTTAATTTTATAACTCAATTGCAGTGATTAAAATATAAGTACCATTAGTGGTCCATCCTCGAAGGACAAAGTACAACAAACAAAGCTAATAACACTACTAATTACACAAACTACATAAAAAGCATATATTCCAGATAAAACCGCCACAAATACTGTTCAAAAATAAATCCAACGAAGACCAGGCGAGCACAAGACGAAAATATACAAAGGTCTCGAAATTCCCTACAAAATTTGTTAACCGTCATAAAAATAAAAAATAAAGATAACGTTACAAAAAAAAAAAACAATGCCTGATAGTCGCGCGTGAAATCTACAACTATAACCGAGACGAGAATTAAAACGGGGTGGGGACGTAGGGTGTGAGAGTGAGTAAATTAAAGAAAAAGAGAAACTAGATAAAAGGTCGAAAGAGAACGGTAGAATAAATAAAAGGTAAAGGGAGGAAAGTGGAGAAGAGTTTAAGAAAAGAAGAAGAGAGACGAAAACAAGGGAAAAAGAGACGACACAGCAGAGGAAGATGTAGAAGGGAGGAGGAGGAGGGAGGTTCAAGAGGAGTCGAAGGGAGGTGGGCGCTGGCGGCGTTATGACGGGCGCCGGGGGTGGCGCCGCGACGCTCTGGCGCCTCCAACGCCGAGACGCTCCGGTGATGTTGGCTCCATATACCTACACATCTCAACCTGTCCCCAGTCGCTATTCCTCTCTCTGTCTCACGTCCAGCCGAGCGACATTCACGTACACGTAACTACGTGGTCGCAATGAGAGTTCGAGATTCTATTTCTCACATGTACACGTGTGCACTCACCCTGTACCACTCCCCTCATCCACCCGTCTACACCCCATCCCCCCTCCGCGCAAAGTTTCTACACTCGTACACACACACACAGGGGCACATTGTAGGATTAAAAGAACACCGTAACAGAAACGGAACATGCCTGACCCGTTCATTGGCCGAAGTGATTAAGGGGTCTCCCTAGTGTGACGGGTCAAAAAAATCGATTTTTTTTTTTTGCTTTTTCTTAAAGTTCAATAACTTAAGAACATATTCCTAAAGCATTACGGCTGAATTTGAAACATTGGCAACGCTATGAGCTATGAAATGTAGTGGCGCGACCGGGCGCGCAGGTATACAGTCGGAGCGCTCGACGCTTGCAGCGAAGGCCGATTCTTTTGTAATGTAAAATCGTTACTCCCAGAGTTTTCTACGACTCGGCTACCTCAATCATCCCCTTCTGTG